CATTGAACTTTAAGAAAATACTTATCTATGTCATCCGTTAAAAGTTTGGCTCATCCATGCCATTTTTGTTTGAGAAAAGGCTCATTTATGTCATTATTTATAAACTAAAAATATTTTCCATTTTGGAAAACATTATTTTACATGTGGTCATTTATGATTAGGACACATCATTAATTAAATCATTTTTTAAAATGAAAAAAGTTCAAATATGTCATCGAACTTTGAGAAAAAGGCTCATCTATGTCATTTGTTAAAGTTTGGCTCATTTATGTCATTTCAGTTAATAAGTTGTGCATAAATGAGCCTATTCTCAAACAGAAATGACATAGATGAGCCAAAATTTTTATTAATAACACAGATAAGTCTTTTCTCAAAATTTGATGGCTTATTTAAGTTTTTTTCCTTTATTCAAAAAGGAAGTGCTTTGTAGCTTAGCTACCTGAAATTTCTTTATCATTAAGACATAAACTCGAAACTTATAATTAAGAGCAAATTTCATCTGTCTCATCACATAAGAAAACTTTTTAGTAGTTGGAAGAAATTTTTCGAAAACTAAATCATGTATAATTTGAATAAATAGGCAAGAACTATTAAATCTTCAACCAACACTTTATGACAAGCAATAATCAAGGAAGAATTTTTACTAAGAATTTCATCCTCTATTACTTCCTCCGTTCTTTTTTATATGTCATGCTTCTATAAATAGTTGGTCTATAATACTTGTCATTTTATAAAATTAAAGCATAATTTGCAGTATTCTTCCTATTTTACCTTTGTGAGTTATTAGCCTTGAAAATGTATATTTGACAAACATAGAAAAACTAAATGAATAATTCATATTCATTGGTCAAATTAAATAATATAAATAAATAATTTCATATTCATTGATTAAAAAGTTAACTTAAAAAAAATTAAATGAAAATAAACGGGTAAACTTACTTAATTTTTTAATGCACGTGAAATAAAAAATAATGACATATAAATAAAAACTAAGGGAATATAACATTATTTTCCGTCTTCTAGCGCCGTCCCTTTATTATGATGTAAGATCATTAATGACGTGTCAAAGTACCCCTAATTAATTTTGCCCCGCGTGTAAATAGTTGTTAACGTATCATTCATTATTTCAAATAATAATAATGCTCAAATATGTCATCGAATTTTGAGAAAAGATTTATTTATGTCATTCATTGAAAGTTTGGCTAATATATGTCATTTTCGTTTGAGAAAAGACTCATCCATATCATTATTAGTTAACGGAAAATAGTTCCGATTTTACAAAACCATTTTTCACACATGGTCAATTATGATTCGACTGCGTCATTAATTAATTTATTATTTAAAAGAAAAAAAGCTCAAATATGCCGCTGAACTTTGAGAAAGCTCATCTATGCCATCTGTTAAAAGTTTGACTCATCTATGCCATTTCCGTTAACAAATATTGACATGGATGCACATTTTCTCAATCGAAAATGGCATAGATGAGCCAAACATTTAACAAATGACAATGAGTCTTTTCTAATATTTCAATGACATATTTAATCTTTTCCCCCATTAAAATTAAAACCCCTTTATTAGTGTGTGACTGATAATTCTGCTTCGCACAAAATAATTTTCATATGTCAACATCACATATTAGTTGCAGAACAATTTTTACTATTTGAAAGTAAGAGAAATTTTCAAGAAGTGCTATTTTGAAAAGTTTTTGCACGATTTTAAATTAATTAAAATCTAAGTAGGTATCAGACGTTAAATGACAAATTAAGGAATAATGACGTGACATGATATGAAATGTTGATTGAGAAAACTTGTAATTATTTAGCTGACGGACTTGACCAAAACTATGGTCCTTTTCACGATTAATTCAAGTTAAAACCCTTCCCTAAGAGTAACACTCTAAATTCTAAGGCTTTAAAATTAAAATACAAGTTGGAGAAGTAATTAATTTACATCGAAGAGATTGATGGAAAAGCTGAAAGGAACTTTCCTAAACCGCTCTTCTCAATTCCAAGAGCAACGTTGTAGAAAATAACAGGTTTTAATTTTGAGACTTTTCTGCACAAAGTCCTGACTAACCCCGCTATAGCGGCGTTGCCATAGCGGCGTTGCCATAGCGGGATTAATTCATCCCTCTATAGCGGTGTGACACCCGCTATAGCGGCCTGTACGAAGACAAAAATTCTAAGTCCTTCCCCAAGCTCCAATTTTGCAATTCACCTTCGAATCTTGACTTTCTAAACTAACCTCTATACGTCAAGTTCGATATCAGGAGTTTTACTCACCCGAATTTGATTTTGAAAGGCCCTATGGATTTCTTAATGTCTTAGCTACCAAAAAACATGATCCAAGTTTAGACATACCACCCCATCCGTTCCCTGATTGCTCTAGCCCTCCCCTCACTCAGATTCCGTTTGAAGATACCTAGCGTAAAAATTTTAAGCCATTACCCAAAAAATTTTATAGCCCAATTCTTTCACCATTCGCTTTCCCATAACAACTGAAAGATGTCGTTACAACCCCTCGATTATGATGGATGATCATTAATGATGTGCCAAAGAGCCCTCGTACTTATTTCCATCTTATAACTCTACCCCTAATCTAGATACTTGTTAACATTATTCATCATTTCTAACAATATTAGGAAGAATCAAAGATAAATTAAAAGTAAAGTCTCTTGAATTGCATTTTGGAAAATTTTCTGCACAAATTTAAATTGCATAAAATTCCAAAACAGAATTTTATGACTTGACATGATAATAAACATAATAGGCCACATCATGCACATTAGACCACACATTATGCAATCAAACACACTTTCAGCTCAATAATAATAATATAATACTAATAAATGGACATATCAAGCAAATAATACTTTACTAATATCAGTAATTCAGTATAACATATGATTCTTATTTATTTGGTACTTGTAAGTTGTAACCCTACATATTCAATTATTACACTTTGACCCACGTGGTTTTATCCATTAAAAAAAACCCTACATATATTCAATTATTACACTTCGACCCACTTGCTTTTGTCCACAAAAAGTATTGTCTTTTGGTTTTATTATCTCCACACACCATTTATATTAAAAAGTTTAAAAGTAATTGTAATGATCCGTCCCGATCGGTTATGAATAGGTCTGAAGGAATTTGGGACAAAAAAAATTCATTCAAAATTTTTAGACTAGATCAGCCTCAGACAGAATCGGGGCTCGGTGAGGTGTAGGACCATTCGAGAATGGTGTGATGTAATGTTTAGGCTTGGTTGATATTTAATAGGCTAGGTCAGCCTCAGACAGAATTCGAGCTAGTTGAGGTCTAGAGTCATTCGAGAATGGTGTGGTGTAATGTTTAGGCTTGGTTGATATTTAATTATAGGCTAGGCCAGCCTCAGACATAATTCGAGTTAGGTGAGATCTAGGGCCATTCAAGAATGGTGTGGTGTAATGTTTAGGCTTGGTTGATATTTTCTTGTAGCTGATACATAAGGAACCCATAAGGCTTTACGGTATTAAATTCGGGTGAGTAAAACTCCAGGAATTGATCTTGGCGTGAAAGGAATACTTTGGGACGTCAGGGAAAGAAAGTATGTCGTGAAAAATGAAATTTTCAAGAATTTTTGAGTTTGTGAAATTCGCATAGTCCGCTATAGCAAGAAGTGTCCGCTATAGCGAACATGTCCAGGTGCCAGGCGCTATAGCGCGCTGACGGTATCTTTATTTCAAAAGTTGAGTGTATATTTATTTGTTCATGTGTAACTTGATATAATTTTAAAAAAAAAAAATTCATAGTTCAGGAGTTAAGTGTATCTTCCGTTCAAAAATAAGAAATGAAGTTAGTAATATAAAACAATAATTTTACTATTTCATTCTTAATTATTATAATAAGTCATCTCGTTTATTGAGAAATAAATTAAAAATGATCCATACTTAATAATAAAAGTAAAATATGTTTAAATTAATAATTTATCTCTTAATTTTTAAAACTAGACAAATAAAAGGAGACGAAGATCTATTGCTTATTTATACATATTTTATTCTTACTATTAAATATTATCAATTTTTCATTATTTAAATAACGTATAACATCAGTATATATGACATAAACATCATATATGAATGGTCTAGTTTAATTTTTTCATATAAGCTCTAAAGATAAAATTTGAATGCAATAATTTTGGCGCTAATTATTAAAAATTTACTTACACGAAATTAATCATAGTGGAAATGAATTATTTTTGAAGTTTTATGTTACACGCTCAGTAGGGAAGTGCTTCACAGTTAAAACAAATAGGCAAGTACTATTAAATCTTCAATCAACACTTTGTGACAAGCAATAATCAAGGTAGGATTTTCATTAAAAAATTTATTATTTATTATGATGGATGGTTATTAATGATATGTCAATGTAACCTTTTTAATCTTTTGATTTATTAAAAAGTATGTATTACACCTTTAAGTTTGTGAAAAATTATAAATTGAGAATCAGAAGTGCAAATTTCAATTGACAAAAGGTAAAATATGCTTAGCTAGATACTGCAAGGACAATGAGAAGCTCAAAATGACATTAAGCAAGAGATATATGTAATCTAATAAAAATATATGGGTAAGTAGAGAATACCTATAAACACAAAGCTCTCTTCAAGGAACTTGAAAAAAAAAAGGGACTTGTAATTTCGGGAGAAGAGATTCATCTTCACAAACGAGGTACATAATGACAAAGTCTAGACAATAAATTATTTATAAATAAGGAAATGAACTTCTAGTAATTCAAAAAGCTCAATATTTTATTAGCATTATATACATGAGAAATTGCAATTTTCTTAAACAAATAACTTCATAGGGAAACCCTAACATAAATAATTATTATATAGAGAAAACTAGAAGCAATCATGCCCTTTAAAATCATCACATTTAAGGGTCATGCTTCAAGTTTTATTTTTCACTAAATAAACCACATTACTCTAAATTCTTTAAAAAATAGCCACTATTTAAATATTCAAACTTTTTCAAGAACTTGAACAATCTCCTTTTGTCCATGATTGCTATCTTCAATGTTGATCCCTTTGTACCACTTAGCAAAAAACACAAATGCAACCATATCAACCAATGCCAAACCAAATAGCAAGAAGTAAAATCTATCAATGTGGCCATTATTTAAATTTTCAGGTATCCAACCATGTCTAGTCCCTTTTGCTGTGAAATGCATAACCATGTTGACAAGCATACTACTAACATAATTTCCAAGTGACATTGATGCCATACAAAGTGAACTTCCTAGGCTTTTTATCCCATCAGGTGCTTGTCCATTGAAAAATTCAAGTTGTCCAACATACATAAATACCTCTGAGGCACCAACAAGTATGTATTGTGGAATTTGCCAAAATATACTTAGTGAACTTGTTTCATTTCCGGGGATTACTCTTCTTAGCCTAAAAATTTCTGTTACACCTGCTGCAACCATTGATAACATACCGATGATTAGTCCAACTCCCATCCTCTGGAGCTCTGACAATCCTCTCGGATTCCCACTTATCTTTCCGGCTAATGGAACCACCATGAACCTACATATAGGGATCGTAAAATTAGTTCATGAAAAAATGATGTCTAAATAGCCCCTTTTAAGGATAAATTTCACAAATAGCCACTTTTCAACCATTGTCTCGGAGTTTTAAATTTCACAAGTGAAACTTCAGGACATTCTCACATAGTTTTTCATATGTGGAATTTGAAACTCTATGACAGTGACTATTTTTCAATATGAGTCGTTATTTAGTTCAACACACTCATTTACTTATAATGTCATTAATTTAGTTCAACTCACTCATTTGATACCCTTACCTGTAGAGAAACGTGCACGTTAGCACGCTACATATGTCGAATGCTGACATGCTAGCTGCAGGTAGGTGAAAGTTCCCAATGGTAGCATCCATGACTTCACCTTGCTCAACAAATAAAGAGGCCATTTGTGTAAAGATGACAGAGTACATTATGGTGCATAGCCAAATTGGAAACATTCTTATTATGCACTTTGCTTCTTCAACTTGTGTTATTGTGCATAGCCTCCATGGGTTAATCACTGGCCTTTGTCTATCTTCATCTGTCACTATTGCTGCCTTGTCTAGTTTCCTGGCCATTTTTAAAATAATGTGATTAGAAATTAAAAAACAAAACTTCATATCATAGACAGACGAATCAAGAATTTAGAGTCAGAAGGTTCACTATATAGGTGAATCAAGAATCGAAAGTCTATTTGTTCATTACATAGGTGAATCAAGAATCTAGAGTAAGTAGGTTCATTATATAGGTGATAAAAGATGTATTGTTAATACGTTCATTATATAACGAATCAAGAATCTAAAGTCAATAGGTTCATAATTATATAAGCGAATTAAGAATCAAGAATTAGTAGGTTCATTATATAAGTTAATCAACAATCTAGAGTCAACAGATTCATTATATAAAGATTAAGAATCTTTATTCAACAGGTTCATTATACCATAGACAAATCAAGAATATAGATTCAGTTTGTTCGTCATATCATAGGCGAATCAAGAATTTGGAGAAAATAAGTTCATTAAATAAGTGAATCAAGAATAATCAAGTGTCAATAGGTTCAGAATAAATATGAATCAAGAATCTAGATTTAGTAAGTTCATAATAAGTGTGATTTGATTGTATGTATACATAATTTGGATTGAAATATCTCAAGCTAGGCCCACTAGGGAATTTGTTTCAATGACGTTGGATATATAAATATATGTAACTAAGTAGAGTATTAATTAACCGAGACACTTAAAAGACAGATAATATGAATCGAAAACTACTTACTTGAAATCATTACTATGAAGTATCTTCCTTGTCCCTTTAATGGATGATTCCAACCCATTCAATTCATATAACTCTGTCTCATCAACATTAGGCACTCTCCATTTACGGAACGCGGCAACGAATACCTGACCGACACGTGGCAATGGGTTCCCAAATGACTTAACATATCTATATCCAGGAGTGCCCAACAAGAAAACAATTAGGCCCAAAAGCCCAGCAGCAGTAGAGGCCCAAAAACCAAGTGTCCATTTACCACCATCTTCATAATATACCAAAATTGTATTGGAAATTAAAGATCCAGCATTTAATGCAAAGTAAAAATAGCCAAAATAGGCAGCCTTTGAGATTTTTCCTTTAGGATTTGCTTCATCAAATTGGTCTGATCCAAAAGTTGCAATTGTGGGTTGATGACCACCATAGCCCAAAGCCACCAAGTATATGGCTAAGTAAAATAATGAAGTGCCAATAGGTGATGGGGGTACACAATTTTGTAGACCATCTCCACATCCATTTGGTTTAATCAAGAATAGCCAAGATGTCAATGATATGATCACAAGTCCCTAGTTAAATTCACAAAAAAAATAAATGAGAGTTAACTTATATGCACTGACAACGTAAAGAACCATTATACTACTGGTGTAATGTAACATGTTCTACTTGTTATGAACGACTACTTGTAGTTATACTTTACTGACAACATCGATCCATATATACTATTGGAAATGACGATATCAATATTTCCCTTATATTTTAGTGAGAGATTTGATAACATAAAAATCATTTTATACTGTCAATGTAAGAAGCTTAAAACTCATTACAATAGTCAAAACTAGTATGGTATTGATATCCTCTACTCAAAGAGAAAAAAAAACTAAATTTCACATTAACTAAAGGTCAAGTAATTATCCACGTTTCATTTTATATGACATTTTTTGGCTAAACATATAATTTAAGAAAGAAAGAAAGTCTTTTACCGCATACCAAAAGTATGCTTACAAGTTGCGATTGTAAATATAATCAGTGGTGAAGTCACAACTTTTACTGAGAAGATTCAAAATATAAAGAAATACACACAAAAAAGTCATAGGATTATTCTAACATATACTATATCTACATAACTTTGATCTTATATATATGGTATAATTTTTCGACTATGGTCCATAGTCTTATGAAAATTCGAATGAACCTCTTACACCTCCTTGGCTCCACCTTGATTATAACCATATGCCATGATATATAAAGATGCACATGTCATTCTTTTCGAAACAGACTAAAAAAAATGAGAAGTATAATATAGTAATAATTACCAGGATGAGAATAAGTTGAAAAATGGCACATGTGATGAACCTTCCCCAATAAGAATCACTTATAAAAGCTCCCAAAAGTGAACACAAATAAACAGTTCCAGTCCATTTGCTAACATTATTAGCAGCAGTAGCATTATCTTGTCCCAAAACTCTTGTTAAAAACAACACCAAATTCACTCCAACACCAAAAAATGATAGTGTTACAAGTCCTTGGTTTACTGCATCAAAAAAAAAAATAAAAAAAATCATTTCATATACATATTTAATAACAATATATATGTGATTTTAAAATATTTTTACTAATTGACATGGAATACATGAGATACACATATGACACATGCAGAAGCTAGTTTATCAAATATACTACATACGTTATGACATAGTCCGACACAACACAAAATAATTGTGTGGTTATAAAAGCTACTCATTAGAGTAAAACAATAAGTTTATTCTAGTTAGATGTTTCTAAATATAAAAAATGTCGCTTTATTTTTAATAGAAATAATACAAAAAATAGTATCACGTAAATTGAAATGGGATGATAAAATTAAATACCTAAACAAAGAAATGCTGAATACCATCCACCAGTTTTTTTGCTTCTAAAGACTTTAAGTTTGTTCACAACTCCCTGCTTGATGTCTTTGCTTACTCCATCTGAATGGTTCTTTTCATTTATCTGTACAAAAAAAATATATAAAAAAATATGAACAAGTAATTAATAAAAAAATAATCTTTTTTTTTATATTGTCAGTGTATTTTGATTCGTTATAACAAGTTAATTACATAATTTCTAAGTTGTTACACGTAATTATAGGTGGTTTTGACTTAATAACGTTAAGAAAAATTTATATATTGTCAGTGCACAAAACGCCAATTATCGAATAATAAGCTAACCTTTGGCATGACTTGAGTTGTGTCCATTGTAGCCATTTGGGACATTCTATGCAAAATTTAAATGCAAAAGAAATTATTTTACTGATCGTGTATATAACTTAAACTTTAACATATGAGAAATATTTAAAAAAAAACAAAAACACAACAAAAGTATCATAATAGCTAGGTTTGGTTTCTTAATTTTAGTATGTATTAATGTTTGTGAATTTGTTTGAATTTGACTAGTCGATAATATTTCTAATAGTTTTATCATCGAAAAACTCCTTAATGAGCCAAATTCTGACAGGATGTCCATGCAAAACGATAATTTGTTATATATATATATATATATATTGTCACACAAATGCATTTTTTTTTATGTATGAAGAACTAGATTGTATGCACTTTGAGGAAGAAGAAAACTTGCTTAAAGGGCTTGAATATTATGAATAAATTTATGCATGCAATAATAGAAAGGTTGATGAAAATTGATTGAAGAAATAGCTCAATATATAGACAAATATAAATAAAGGGTCATTTTCAAAAATTATGTTTCAATAAGAGAAAATAATATATATATATATAGCATATTTTTCATAAAGAATAAATTAAATAAAAAATAGTCCCACAAAACTTCTCTAGTTTCATTGGAAACCTTTAAAAGTGGATTTTGATTTGATGACATAGGTTGAAAATGACTTTTTTTTTAAAAATAATTCAATTTGGTGTTCGATATTTATATTGGAGTGACTAAATAAGGATTCACGTCTTACAAGAAGATTCATTTCTAGATGCAACGCCCCATTATGATTTTTTTCATTTTAGACTCGAACACGAGATCTCGGAATTAGAGTGGAGGGACTTCAATCCTCCTATGTTATGTCTTTTCATGGTATTTAATTTCTTTAAATTCATGACTCACTAACAGTATAAAAAATCTACAGTTTCTAACAGTCCTTTCATAACAATGAAAGATTCAGCATGATGGATTAAAATTGCAAGTTGAAAAATAAAAATAAAAATAAAAGGAATAACTTTGGCAAAATTATGGTGCAATATAAATTATTAATTACTATTAATTTCATTTCTTTACATAAAAAAAATGGATAAGTGTTCCACTTTATTTCAAAAAGATATAAAATTCACTAACTCAAAAAACTAAAACTCATATTAATAAAATTTAAATTCTGAATTCGTCTCGTTACCCTACTTAGCAAGAATATTAAGGGTTAATGGATAATGTCATCTTTTTCCACTTTATATAGGTGTTATTATCAATCAAGAATAAGCAAAGAAACTTCCATATGGTAGTAAAATTAGTATAAACGATATACACATAACATCTTTCGACGTGACAAATTAAAACGTAAAGAATTTAAGTTATATGTACAGATAAATGCAACATTATATTAAAAAGAAATTCGAATTACCTTTTGCGAAACTTAGTAGCTGAGAAATTAACCGAAAACTTTGTGATAGTATATGATTCTGGTGAAGGTGAAGAACTTGTATCGATGAGAACAATAATATAATTGCTAGTAATTTTTTTTGTCATTTATGGTGAAAAAAAATTAAGAACAAAAAAAACTTGAAATTTTCACTCTTAATCTTCTCCAAATTATAAAAACTTTGTATAATTTTTTTTTCTTCTTCTAAAATAATATCAATGGATCAAGAAATCTCTAAAACAAAACAATAATTATAAGACAAGAACAAGAATTACTCCTAATTAATTTTGAAGATTATGAATGAAAGAAGAGGATTAAAGAAGTGATTAGTGAATTATAATTAATTAAGTTTAGGTTTTTATAAAGATTTGGAGTTAAATTATAGAATTCTTTTGAGCAACAAACTCCTAATTAAACTCTAATAACTATTAAATCTAATTCTACGCAAATATACTTGGTAGATTAATTAATTAGTTAATTTAGATTTTTCTTTTTTTTTCTGATTAACAGTGACAATAAGTCAAACAAATTAATAAAAAAGTATTTGAGCAAAATGAAAATATTCAAATAAAAAAGGTAAGTACATGCTAATATCTTGATCTTACATGTTCAATATAATTTAGTTTAACTTTTACTATATATATAACAACCTAGTTTACCACTAAAAATGAAATTTTCTGACTATACTACTAAAAAAACTCAAGGAAATTTCAACTCAAAAATCTATCACAATTTTCTTTTTACTAGAATTTTTTTGAACGGAAATATTTGTTTTTTAAGTAATGGGTAATTTTTTTTTCTTCTTTAAGCCCTTCTCATATTATCAGTCTCAACCCTAGCTTATCTCCTTATCGGTACATAATGACATTATAAGTGATGTTTAAAATTAGACATAATATTACTACTTACTAGTAGATAGTGTAAAAAAATTATTTAAAATTATCAGCGTATATAATTTAATTAAATTCCTTCAATACTACATGTAAATTAAACCTAATCCTATTTGACTACCAAAAGATTAAAATATAATAAATAAATAAAAAGGACAAAATAACTGCCTAATTTAGAGGCTAATTAATAGAGCATATTAAACCGCCCAAGATAAACTAACCCACCTATAATAAGTCAACTTTTTTATAATTTTATATTCAACTAATTAATTATATTAGAAAAATATAAAATCTATAGAAATAATAATTTTTAAAAAAGTGATAAGGACAAGTCCATATATTATACTGTTGAAATTTAATGACTTATCAAATCACTTTTTTTTTTAAAATAGTCATTTCCAAAATTAAGATAAAGTTGATAAGTTGTTCCCCACTCATATATATTACCAAACAAAATTACTATGCACTATTTATAGGGAAAACTGTCTTCCACTTCTTGACTAAAAGAAAAAAAATAATGTTTGGTTAAATTTTAGGTGATTTTATGAGTTTTAAAAAATCTAACTCGATCGTGTCTGAATTGATATTTTAGGTGATATCTCATGAGAGATGTCAGAGATTGATTTCCTATGTTCACATCTTCTCATTGAGCTCGTCATCCATTTGACTTGCCTAGTGCAATTTATCTCATAAGAATGAATTTACCTAATAAACACTCTAATTATCTATCCAAAGAAAATAAACACTCTAATTACCTATCCAAAGAAAATAAACATATTACAGCAAGTGTTTACATCAAAATATATTAATTTATCAAGGTTAATGATGGATAATGTTGAGGTGAGAATGTATATAATTTATGTCATCACTATTAAAAAAAATGAATTAACGAAGAACAATTCATGTCGCTAAACAAAAAATAAATCGCCGTTATTTATATTAACAATAGATAATTAATAAATTATCAAAAAATTATGTTAGCTATATAGGTTATTAACGATAAATTAACAATGAATTTCATAACTAATTCATGTGTTTTTTAGTGATGCATGTGAAGACACGCGTCATATAGCTCATATGCGATATGTTTTACTCATATACAAATTCTATAGAAAAGTCACATACACAACTGCTTAAATTTGTTAGTAAACTTTATTTACATACATAAAAAAAAAACCTATGATTTATGTCAATTAAACACTCAAATACATGATAAATTGTTCCTATTTAAACATTTTCAATTCAAACTTTTTTACGCGTATTCTCAAGTGTTTTAATTTTATATAGTTAAGTTAACAGTAATAAATATGTTTCTCTCTTGATTAAACACATCAACCTCAATTGGGAATAAGTCTGAGCTTTTACATCTTACTAAGAAAATGACATATTTTAAGTGGTTAATTTATTTACGTAATGTGCACTTAAGAACAATACATGCAGATTTTTTCCCCTCAAAATTTGAAGCAAGTGTGTTTAACAGGAACACTTTATCGGATGTTTATGTGCTCAATTGAAACAAACTATAGTTCCAATAGCTAAACGAAATTTACTGATAAATTCAAGGTTTTCTATGTATTAATCCAATCTTTGTTTCCTAGAAAGTCATATGTCAAGTATGTTAGAATTACTTTCAAACAAAAATAAATATTTTTTTATCGTTCCAATCATCGTAATCTATGGAAAAGAAAGAAAAAAATGAATATTCTTTGGGAAAATGTATTACAAATATTCATGTACTAGCTTGTAACATCTTTTCTAAGAGAGTATGTGTTATCTTATCAAACCAAAAATAAAATTAAAAAAATCGATGGCATTCATTGATTAGATATATAATTACTAAAGTCAATTAAACCATCTTTGTAGAATTAGGTCATGGTCGGATATTTAGTAAAAATCTTTAATTTCAATTATGATTTATGACACATAATTAAGAGAGTAATAGGCAAGTAACTTTTAAGACCACTAATTATTTTTTATCATTATTTTAAATTAAACTTCTTGATATACAGTCGCGTTAGATAGACAAAACGGTTTAGCCTCCAAAAATAGATTTTCGATGTGAATTCAGATGAATCAAGCCTCAAAAATGATACATACATTATTTATAAAAAAAAAGAAGAAGACATTATACTAGTAATTGTCAATCTTGAATAAACAACCATATGGCATATCTAGTGTTTCTTATTGCACCAACATGTTTCCATTTCTTTTCATATTATATATATGATTATGGCATCTATCTATATTATATATATATATATATATATATATATATATATATATATAATACCAAATCTATTTTGTTATTTTGAGACAAACAAATTGCTTTGTAAATTACCAAGTGAAAGTCCTTACGGTGAGTCCATCCATTATAATTAAGGGTCTTGCCAAATGTCAAGTGACAAAATTAAATAATTATGAATACAATTATAGTAGTTGTGTATATACAAAATAAGCTTAGATATTATACCTATCATGAGGACAATCTTTATTGACAATAAATAAATAAATCATTTAGTCATATTTTTTTTAAGGACGGCTTAGCTCTATGATTCGCTAATTTTTTTATTTTTTTTTGATATTTTCGGTTCGTAAAATGAAGGGAGTGTATATATAACTGGGGTGCAACTCTAGTTTTCTGGTTTGTAACGAAAGAGAAAGATAGAGTAGAGTTCGAAAGCTATTCTAAGAGAAACTTGATAGGCTCCTCTAAATAGAATGTGCACCACTCTCCTCTGCAACAAATTATGTCGGCTTCAAACCTTACTCGATCTAATATATTCAAAATTTTATTCAACTATTTAATTATGTCCATATTTTTAAAGTCATACAAAAATTACTTAACTAGCATGATTTTCATTTCCACGATCGCTTCTCCTTCGTCATAATCCTTCTTCTCAGATCAACATAACTTGTGAATAAGATAAATGTGTCTATTCAATATGACTTGTAAATAATATAAAGAGACATAAAATGAAGACTATACACCCTAAAAGTCAGAGTACTTACTTGTCAGCTGAGATCAAATTTGAATATCTATTTATGTGTATTATGTATTTTATTAACTTCTAATATTATAAAACTTTGTTCAAACAATAATAACATGAAAATAGCATCTATTGGTTTTCATGTGGAAAATGAGTGTAAATGAATGGTGCCAAGAAACATGTCATGATCAAAGTCTTAGTGACATTATATTATTCCCTCCATTTTCTTCTTTACACTATTTAACTCCTTATGATCATTTGCCACTAAGAAAATAGTGAAATTAAAGAAGTTATGCTCAAGAATTGTTAGGAATATTATACCATCCACATAATATTATAATTGTACTATAGCTTATAAACAAAAGGACTACTAAAAGTAGGTAACAACTATGCATATTTTGAGGCTTTTTGATGAAAGGAGAGATGACATTGTTAATGTCACCTAGTGGCTTTTTAGAAGTTTCGAGTTCGAGCTTTGTAATAGTCAATTTTGATACAGAGTGTTTTATCCTTGTAATGATATTTTTTGATAGAGACACTAAGATTCAAGATTTGAACTCTATGAGTTTTTACACATGAACTACTTCTTGGCGTGAATTTTGCACTTCTACGCACTTCAGACATGCAGTGAAAGTTTCTTATCGTCACAGTTGAGGCACAAGTAATTGAATTCAATTCAACTACATATAATTGAAATTCACGCAAAATTGGCTGAACTTTAGACATATGTACCTAAATTTCAACCATATGAAACTTCCGCCACACTTCAATTATGACATAAATAGTAGTCCCAAAATCAGGTATCTGTACATATCGTCCCAAAATCAGGTATCTGTACATATCGTCCCAAAAACAACAACGAAATAAGCCCAATGTCATTCTATAGGCCCAACAATTTCATCAACTTTTCATGTCCCTCTTTAAAGCCCAATGAGAAAATAGAACCATAAAGAGTTTGTTTGGTTGATGAACAGGTTATCCCAGGACTGTTAACGCATCACACCCTCAATGTGGGATAAAAACAACAGTACAATCTTAGAATAACATATCTCGCAATTTTATTCCAACCATTCATGGTATAAACTCATCCTAAATTTAATCGTGAGATTGAGTATCCCTCATCCATCCTACCAAACGATTCCTAAGTACCTAGTCCCAACAATTTCATCAACAAAAGGTCCAATAATGAGCTAAAGCCCAATAACATTTTGTAGGCCCATAAATCCTAGCATGTCTACACACTTCTGAATAACTTCAAACATGCAGTAGAAGTTTCTTATCGCCCATAAATCCCGAAAAAAATGATTGAATTCAAACCACATATGATTACACTTCAAGCGAAGTTGGCTGAACTTCAACCATTGAAACTTTCGACACTGCATGTCTGAAGTTGTTCCTAAATATATTACATGTATGACTTAAATGGACTCCAAACTTGGGTGTCTATACACTTGGGCCCAAAAAAGGAGCTAAGCCCAATAACATTCTTTAGGCCCAAAAGTACCAGGCCCACCAGATCTTCATTTCCCTCTTCAAGGCCCAATAACATTCTGTAGGCCCATAAATATTAGGCCCAATAACAGTTCTTCATTTCCCTCTTTAAAGACTCCCAACAGACAACTACTAGCAATTACTACTACTGTTAATGCTGACACCAATTTTGTTTTTTTTAAAAGGATAGCAAAAAAAAGAAAAAACCCAAAACCCCTTTGTATCGAAATTCTACTTTGTCACTTCAAGGTATTCATAGCTTTCTCTTTTCTTTTTAATACTGTAATTCAAATGTGATACAAGTTTCAGTTTTTACTGTTTTGTGTTTTTTGTGGGGGGTTTGTTTTCTTGAAATTGTGTTTAGTTTTGGCTACATTTTGCTATAAAACATTAGCTTAAATTGTGTGTTATGTTTAAAGTTTTGATCTTTGAGTTTGAGGTGTTTCTTTTTATGGGTGTTGGATTCTAGAAATTGTGCTTATTTTTGGCTACATTTGATATTAACATTAGCCTAAGTTGTGTGTTATGTTTAAAGTTTTTATCTTTGAGTTTGAGGTTTTTCTTTGTATGGGTGTTGGATTCTTGAAATTATGCTTATTTTTGGCTACATTGCAATAAACACTTAGCCTAAATTGTGTGTTACGCGTAAAGTAATCATCTTTGAGTTTGAGGGTTTAACTCTATAGGTTTGTTTTGGATGAGACACTTTCTTTTTGCTGTTTATCTTTTTGTTGGTATTTTTTTTCTTGAAATCATGCTTATTTTTGGCTACATTTGCTATAAACATCAGCCTAAATTATGTGTTATGCTTAAAGTTTTGATCTCTGAGTTTGAGGTTTTTCTTTTTCTGGGTGTTTGTTTCTTGAGATTATGCTTTATTTTGGCTATATTTGCAATAAACATTAGCCTAAATTATGTGTTATGTTTAAAGTTATCATCTTTGAGTTTGAGGGTTTATACTCTATACTTGTTATGGGTTTGTTTTGGATGAGACAATTGTCTTTTCTTTTTAATAATGCAAATGTGATTCAAGTTTCAGCTTTTTACTGCTTATCTTTTTTCTAGGTATTGGTTTCTTGAAATTATGCTTATTTTTTGCTACATTTGCAATAAACATCAGCCTAAATTATGTGTTATGTATAAAGTTTTGATCTTTGAGGAAAAGTGCAATCTGCTTTCATGTTGTTCATCTTTTTTCGATCAGTATCTTTGAAAACCTGCATACCATTTGTATATTCCCGAATGTACTTATTGAAATAAGGTTTTTGGATTTCTGAATGTTCCTGTTTTAATTTGAAATCATTCTCAGGTTACAGTTTCTCTGCAAATTTTCTATAGAAATGGCAGCGTCTGCAGCTTCAAGCTTTCAAATAACAATAGCTAGGCCATCCGTACTCTCTACTAAAAGAATTTCCAGTTTCTGCTCAACAAAGTTTGGCGGTGAAACTCCAAAACTGTCCTGTAACAGACTTGCCAGTAGTTGTCATGTTTCATCCATTCAACATTTTTGGCGCAGTTTCACATCTACGACTCAAAAGTTACAGAAAGTTGTCACCAAGGCAAAATCAGAATCTGATGATAGCAAGCCTGCCTCTGTGTTGCCGATTGATTTGAGAGGTTAGGTTCTTCTGATGGTGTTCTTAAGCTTTTCTCCTGTGCACTTTAAGATCCCGAGGAATGAGCGGAAGAGATGGTGGATGTCAACAGATCTCTTCCTCCCCCTTTTAAACTTGTTGATTTCCCCTCATTGGCTGCACGAGTCAAGGAAAGCGAATATGTAATCACAAATAGAGAAACAAAGTTGGAAACATTTACAGTGCATAATATCCTTTTAGAATTCCTATCTTCGTTGGGTTACGATTTACTATTAATGCATGATAAACTACTTGTGTGTTTGTGAACCAAAAGTAACATTAGAGAGGATGTTTGTCGTTTTGACTGGCATTAGAAACATTATCTGCCAAAGTGGAGTTTTTGACTGCAAACACTGTGATAGCACATTATTTGCTGCTTGAACTTGGACGAGAGATGGAGTGTGTAATGTAACCGACAGAGATTTGCAATCTCATTCATGACATATATTTTTATGATATATAACATTCTTTCATCTATTTGTTAATATGTTTTAATTTGGTATTTCTGTTCGTGTAGCCCTCTGCCTTTTGAGAAAACTGTAAATGCTGTTTGCAGGTAAAAGGGCTTTTATAGCTGGTATAGCTGATGATAATGGATATGGGTGGGCTATTGCTAAGTCCCTGGCTGCTGCAGGTGCCGAAATTCTAGTTGGAACCTGGGTGCCAGTAAGTGAAATTTACAATTCGTTTGAACTCTCAGTTTATCTTCAAACCTTTTGATGTTTTTGCATTTCTTTACAGGCCTTAAACATTTTTGAAACAAGTCTTCGACGTGGGAAGTTTGATGAATCACGCGTGTTAGAATCTAAACTTGTGTTTCTTTTGTACCACTACAATAATGGCTTTATGACTAACCTCCTGCTAAATACATCTTTGTCAGTTTGCCAGATGGCTCTTTGATGGAGATTACTAAAGTATACCCCCTCGATGCTGTTTTTGATAGTCTTGAGGATGTACCTGAAGATGTAATTTCAAATCCTATGGTTGTGTGAAATTTTTTATTGTGTTTCATTTGCATTTTCCTAATACTAGTTTTTTCTCACCATGCAGATAAAAACAAATAAGCGTTATGCTGGTTCTTCTAAGTGGACAGTCTCGGTATGTAGTTCTCCCCGTTCACACTTCTTTGTGCATGCTGAACAAAATGAGTAATTGCCAGAAAGTAAAATAAGTAAAACATGCATCATGATTGTTCTTGAGGTTCCTTTTCGGGGTTTGATTCTGCATACTGGAAGCAATTGAATCAACATTTCTTAAAAGTCTCATGTATCAATAGTATCTATCATATTTTCCTTATGGTTGTGATCTTCAAATTCTGCTTGTACTTGAAACTGTAGGCATTCTTCATCCCCCCACCCCCACCCCACACTCCCACCTCCTTTTAAGAAACTACAGGCATTCATGATGGAAATATGCACAACATGTTGTGCATGGCTGTCGAGTGAACTGATAGGCGACCAATAATATCAATTTACCTCAATTTAAGTGTTCCAAGTTCGTGTTCCTATTGCTTTTTTCTCAAGTATACACCGAACTTCTACTAATGGTTGTGCTGCCTCACCCACCTTCTGCAGCACCATGGTTGTTAGTTATTACTCCCTCCGTTTCAATTTGTTTGTCATTCCTTTTTAGTCCATTTAAAAAATAATTCTCTTTCGCTTTTTGACAACTCTTTAATTCTAACTTTCCACATGTCATGTTTAAGACCACGAGATTAAAGGGCATTTGGTATGTTCTACGTATCTTTAGTTTAAGACCACAAGATTCAAAAGTCTTCTTTACTTTCTTAAACTCCGTGTCAAGTCAAAACTAGACAAACAAATTGAAATGGAGGGAGTATTATACATGCATAAAGCAAATTACAGCTATCCACTTTTCTTATATCTGCTGCAGTTATTCTTTTGTTTGTGTTGGCTATCATATTAGGCTTGTATCAGGACGTCTTCTCTTCCTGATATTAATATTTCGACCTCTGACGTTTGTATCAGTGTTGCATTTTCTTCACACCTGATTTCTCTTGTTTATAGGAAGTTGCAGAGTCTGTGAAGGAGGATTTTGGCAGCATCGACATTCTTGTCCATTCACTTGCTAATGGACCAGAGGTATCATCTTTCGAAATTGTAAAACAGTGCTTCTTTATCGGTGATCCTTTTTCATGAAATCATTCAACCATTAGGTGACTAAACATCTTTTGGAGACATCAAGGAAAGGATACCTTGCAGCAATATCAGCATCAAGTTATTCCTACGTATCTTTGCTAAAGCATTTCCTTCCAATTATGAACCCAGGCATGTATTTAGTTTCCCATCTTATTTCCCCTTGTTTGCCGATTTTTACAATTGTGTAATTTCCCAAAATGTTCCCTTTGAAATCAATAATGGTTTTATAACAGGTGGTTCTTCGATTTCTCTGACCTATATTGCGTCTGAGAGGATCATTCCTGGGTACACATTATTCTTTCCCTTTTCTTGTTTTGTTGTTCATTAAGACTTTAAATTTTAAATATGTCCCCCCTATGAGGAATCATTGGTTGAAATGTGTCATGTACAGATATGGAGGGGGAATGAGTTCTGCCAAAGCAGCACTTGAGAGTGACACCAGAGTGAGTTGTTCTATATTCTCTACCAGTCGAAAAAAGAAAATCAGACGAAAAGCCTAACGGTTTTCGCCCCTTGAATCTCTAGTAGCCCTCATTTTATTGCATCTAATCATTGAAAGGGTTCATTCTAATGATGTAGGTACTTGCTTTCGAGGCTGGAAGAAAACAGAAAGTTAGGGTGAACACAATATCTGCTGGTATGTTGTCTGTTCATTGCCTGTTAGATTATCCATAGTTACTACTGTTAACTATCAATCGTATTAAGGTATTTTATTATGTAGGGATGGTTACATATATGATGGTTATTTTCCGTTGTATAACAGTATAAACCCCATTCATTATCATCTCATACACCTATCTTCCTGTCAATAGTTGTTTATCTAGTCAAACGGAACGTTTTCTTGTTGACGTTTGTCACCATTGTGTGTGAGGTCTTAATACAATTAAAACTTGATTGTGTTTCGTATGTCGAGATGTCCGGATTCTAGTTTCTACATGAAAACACCTTAACCAACAGAGTTTAAGAAGAATTTTAAGTCTTGTGGTCTTAAACTAAAGATGTGTGTAATGTACCAAAATACCCCTTGAAATCTTATGGTCTTAACATGCCTTGTAGAATGTTTAAATTTGAGAGTTTCCAAATATAGAAAGAGGTATTGTATTTGGAACAGACTAAGAAGGAAAGTAAAAACGGAGGGACTATACAATAATCTCGGAATCCCACCAAGAATCGAAGGAATCATACTCCAGTATATAGTTCCAACTCATATTTTCGTGCATAATCTTTTATTGACAAGAGAAACATATCACTGTCCAGGCCCTTTACGAAGTCGAGCTGCAAAAGCAATTGGTTTCATAGATATGATGATTGACTACTCCATAGCCAACGCGCCTCTCCAGAAAGAATTATCAGCAGGTAAAAATCATCCACAAGTTATTTCTCACTAAAATGTTTTCTTTACCGTCTCTTACCTTATCCTACTTGGCTGTTGTTAATATATCTTTCGGGGAAAAAACTTGTCGTAGATGAAGTAGGGAATACAGCTGCATTCCTAGCATCACCACTCGCTTCAGCAATTACTGGTGCTGTTATATATGTTGACAACGGTTTGAATGCAATGGGCGTGGGAGTCGACAGTCCTATATTTAAAGACCTCAACATTCCCAAGAGCACGGAATAGAAAATATCGCGTGTTAGACGAGTTTGTATTTGTGTTTTTTTTTTTTTCACAACATTCTTATGGTCAGAGCCAAGAGTTCTCGGCCATCGGCTTTCGTGAAATTATCTACTGCTGTATGATTGACACTTTTTTAGAGTAAATAGAAGTAATGAGTTTCCAGTTATAATCATCTTTCACTATAATGTCCCTACCCATATTTGCTGAAATAGAAACCTTAACTCTACTTCTATTGTATTGATAAGTTTGACAAGGCGTCAGCAAAACACTGTCATCTATTTAAAGAACGAAAACCCCTTAGCAGCCCGTTGGAGGCTGTGAATCTGTGACGAGAACAGGGGATGGCCCTATGCACACACAACAACACTCGATCTATGAAGTTAACCCGAGGTGTGAAGCAAGTACTTCTAGCTGTTTTGTTTGAAAACCCCCTAGCAGCCCGTTGGAGGCTAAAGCGAGAATGGGGGATGACCCTATGCACAGATAACAACAATACCGGTTCTTATGAGGTTCAGAGTCGAGTTTTTTTGTTAGCTTTCTCAGTTCATCTATGAGAAATAAATCGAGGCGTGAAGCAAGTACTTCTAGTTGTTTAGTTTGAAAACCCCTTAGCAGCCCATTGGAAGCTGAGATGAGAATGGTGGATGCCCCTATGCATAGATAACAACAACACCGGCTCTATGAAGTTAAGAGTCGAGTTTTTTTGTTGGCTTTCTCAATTCATTTATAACTCAAGGTGTGAAGCAAGTACTTCTAGCTGTTTGTTTGAGAAACCCCTATAGCGCCTTGGACAAGAGTGAGGTGGCAACACTAGCACCGGCTCTATGAAGTTAGAATCGAGTCTTTCTGTTGTTGGCTTTCTCAGTTCATTCATGAGTACTAATTCAAGGGCGTGGAGCGAGTAGGCATCTAGCTACTTTGCCTACTTATTATGTTGGCTATGCTTTTTCATCGCGAAAATGAACGTAAAGTGAGATGAGTGTGCCATTTTCAAAATTATAGATAGATAGCATATCAAAATCTGGTATGAAAAACACGTATAGAAGTGAAAAAGTCATGTTTTGTAAACAATGAAAGAAGAGAACAGTAACAACAATAAATACTACGATAATTGAAACAAAGAAAACTATAATAACACTACTAACAAAGACAAATAGACAATGCTCGATTATCTACTAACTTGACCGACAAAATATTGATCCTAAGACAGTTAGAATATATACAATTTCTTATTTACACCAAAATAGCCTATATATAGACAGTTTAAAGGACAACTAAAACTATATGTTCATAGCAACTTCCTCTTCAGGCTCCTCCCATTGCCAATTTCAGGTGAGTTATCGACATCTGAACCTTCGCGTAAAACCTCACCATGGTTCCTTGACAATATTTTGACTCGAGTGATACGTAATCTGAGTCTAGAACCATCAACTGGAGCTAGTTTATAAGCTTCAGTATAGACTGGATTCGTCGACATGTCCTTGTCTGGTTTATTAGCTTCAGTAAAGACTGGACTCACCTTTATTTCCCTGTTTGGCATCAACTCTTCTCCTTCTGCTACTGCTTTCTTCATCAACTGTATGAACAATGCCATATGGTAAGTTCATCGAGTGCTCGTTTAACAAAGAAATCAAATCCAGAATATCGCGAATGTATGTCATAAAACACACTAGGATCCTGTTAAACTAGGCTAGCGTTTGGACATAGATTTGATTGAAACTTGAAAATACGAGTTCTTAAGGTATGTGTAAAAGAAAAATACTACACAGATGTAGAGATTCCTTACCTCCCAATCAGCAAAATCCAATCTGAAGACAAAGTGGCTGTATTTTACTTCACCAGACTTAACTAAATTGGCATCAGGACCATTCCTTGGAGCTGAAAATAGCAGAACATAAGAAAGGGGAAAAAAAAAACAACGCTATGTGTGGAGTTCAGGGAAGGGTCAGACTACAAGAGTCTATTGTATGCAGCCTTACCCTGCATTTCTGCAAGAGGTTGTTTCCACAACTCGAACACAGTCAACAGAAGATTCGGAGAGGTATCTTACTGAGAAAGTGAGCTCCATTTTCATCCACGTCTATGACAACTCGTCCATCTTTCACTAGAAAAGATAACGCGAATAAATTCTCTATGCTTTGCGCGAAGGATGTTCTGTTCAGTATGATATTCTCAAGCTTAACTCTCTTCTTCTTCCTTAAGATCTGAAACATGGTTGATATGTTCTTGTCCGTGTCTGTTATCTCCTCCGCGTTAACATCAAGCTGCGATAGAGGCAGAACACGTAAATTACATCATACTAAGCTGTGATAGTTTAGATAGGTAAACAAAACAATGAAACCATCAAGACGATAGTTAGAATCCAAATTGGACGCTAAGTAAGGGAATTTGCTAAATGCACTCATACATCAATTGACAACAGGCACATATAGGCCAACTCAGCATCGAGATGTGTTTTAGTACAAAAAAAGTGATGGTTGAGGTATGAAACTCGCGAAAAGGTGATAGTTTAGATAGGTAAACAGAACAATGAAACCAACAAGACGATAGTTAAGAATCATAATTGGACACCAAGTAAGGGAATTTGCTAAATGCACTCATACATCAATTGACAACAGGCACATATAGGCCAACTCAACATCGAGATGTGTTTTAGTACAAAAAAGGTGATAGTTAAGGTATGAAACTCGCGAAAAAGTGATAGTTTAGATAGGTAAACAAAACAATGAAACCATCAAGACGACAGTTAGAATCCAAATTGGACGCTAAGTAAGGGAATTTGCTAAATGCACTCATACATCAATTGACAACAAGCACATATAGGCCAACTCAGCATCGAGATGTGTTTTAGTACAAAAGAGGTGATAGTTGAGGTATGAAACTCGTGAAAAGGTGATAGTTTAGGTATGTAAACAGAACAATGAAACCATCAAGACGATAACAAATCCAAAAATGGACACCAAGTAAGGGAATTTACTAAATGCACTCATACATGAGTACTACAAAACACACTTTACAACAACAAAAACATGAGAAACAACATACCTCCTTTGGTTGAGCGCGCAAGTACAACTTTGAACGTGGTTTACGTGTATACTTACGTTGCTTAACTTCACGATCCATAGGTCCAATCCTTCAAGAACAAAGCAACAAAACATAAAAATGCAAGATCACAAGTGAAGCAAAAGAAAAGTTGCCAAAACAAAAACTTACATGGTGTGAAAACCTCTGATGCCATTGCTAAAAATTGGCGAAACAGAACGCCCAAGTTTCTTCCAAAGTAACGTAGTTGCACTCTGAGAGAGTTTTTTGGGACTTCGCGTCCCAAAGACTCCGAGCAACGAGGAGATGAACATATTCGGTGTAATTCCATCAGCAGAATGTGACCTAACAGAAGACACCAAAGTTTTGGCAAGATCTAACAATGTCTCTGCATCTGCAACTTGTTCTCTTGGCTTTTTAACTAACAATCAAACACAACAATGAATAAGTTAATACTCTCTCGTTCGTCTGTCTGGTTTTGACTTCACACGGATTTCAGGAAAATAAAAATACTTTTTAATCTTATGACCTTAAACTAAAGATATTCATCAAAATGTTCTTTAATTTTGTATTCTTAAACACGTTGAAATTAAAGAGTTGCCAACAGATAGGAAAGTAAGACAAACAAATTGAAACAGTAAACAATTTTAAACTTTTTTTTGGTTTCCCACTCAATGTCTGGAGCGCCGACTAAATCCGGATCGCACACTACAGTGCCCATTCGGGGGTGACGCTCCCAACATGAAATCCAAGACTCGAACTCAATACCTCTGGTTAAGGGTGAAAAAATCCCACCACTGCATCACAACCCATGTTGGTAAAACAGTTTTAATTATAAAACGGGCAAAATTGATTTTATACCAAAAGTGAGACAACAACATCAATATGTCATGTAAGACGCGTGTGTACTTGTTCACAACTAAATTTGCCAGTTGAGATCAAGTTAAATAACTCGTTTACGCGTGTGTCCTTGTTCACAACTAAATTTGCCAGCTGAGATCAAGTTAAATAACTTGTTTATATATATAGAGAGAGTCATATCACAAAACAAAAGAAATAGAGAAAAAAAAAACCAGAAAAAATACCTTCATTATGAGAGCTTTCAATTTCTTTCATAATTTTCTTAAACTTCTCAGAATTAACACTTCCAATATCATCTTTTCCCTCTGTATAACACATCAAAAATAAAATAAATCTTATTTACAAAATAATAATATTAATATAAAAAGAGACCTAATTAGCTTATTTTAACATAATCATTAACAACTATTTCCACGACTCAAACTCATAACATATAAGTCATACACGCTAAGTTGCATACAACTTCAATTCATCTTTTTTACAAATTATCGAGAAAAATAACACATAAACAATAACAAAAAAATATGAAAAAATTACCAGAAATACTATTTTGAATTGCAGAATATTTGCAACGAACACTTCTTGCTTGAGATTTTGGTTCATCAATTAAATCATCAAACTCAATTTTTACCATACTTTTTTCTTTTAATTTTTTCGACTTTGTGTAAAATAACGATGATCAAGAATATTTTTTGTCTTCTTTTATAAAAGAGGAAAAATAAATAAATAAACTTATCGTTTCATTGTTCCTTGTTACGGAAGTTACGGACTTCTTTTTTATTAAAAATCCTTATCCTACTGAATTTGAGTTTAGTACATCTAACTGTTCTTTATTTTTGTTAGTGTAATAAAAATTTTATATTACTAAGACATGTATTATATAGTGTATGTATTATAGTACGTAACTTATTTATCCTTATCCTACGTGTAATGAGAATTTAGTGATCCAGACTGTCCTTTATTTTATTAGTGTGATAAAATTTTATATTATTAGGTCATGTATTATATAGTGTATGTATTTGTTATAGCACGTAACTGATTTTATCTTCATGTTATATATAGCTTTTATTAAAAAAAAAGAAAAAAGGAGTACAATATATATATGGGAAATTTGAGTAAATTCGATGTTTAATTTTTTTTCCTACATCAAAAAATAAAAGAAGGTGATTTTCTTTATCCTACGTGTAATGGGAGTTTAGTACACTAGGCTGTTTCTTTATTTTTGTTCGTGTGATAAAATTTTATATCCTTAGGTCATATACTCTATAATGTAACTTATTTATCTTTCAAATAACTAAAACTTTTTTTTTAAAAAAATAAAATAAAATTGGACTACGATATATATGAGAAAATCAAATAATTTGATATTTATTTATTTATTCCTAGGTCACAAAAACAAAAGAAGTTGATTGTAATTTTATTTTTTTTTAAAAAGAACTCTTTATGTTAAACTAATTAGAGAAAAAAAATGAACATTAGCTCACACATAACTTAGACAAAAAAAAAAGAATTATGCAAATTCAATCATGCCACATTTTTTTAAGTTCAAAACACACATAACTTGGACAAAAAAAAAGCAATTTCAATCTATGCCGATAATAAACTATGAAATATTGAAGAGTGTCTTTTGGATAGTAAACGATAGCATTGTTGAACATCAACAAGAGATCTCTGAAGAAGCTGATAAATTTCATGTTTGAATAAACACCTTGTTCTAGCTTGTTTTGAATAATTTGTAAATTCATATGCTGCTTAATTTGTTTGATATAACCAAAATCTGAATCACTTCCCTGAAAAAAAGACAATAAATAATTAGCACTAATATTATGACGCATTTAAGATTATAAGTTCCTCAATTCTTTCCTTCACATCAAGTCAAATTAATTAATATGTGGCTATAATTAAACATGTCCTTAGGGGTAAAAAGATGTGGAGTTCAAAATTCAATCATTTCTAACTTTTTTTTTTTAAAAAAAAGTAGCTTTTTTCAATATAAATTAAAGAGGAAAGAACGTTACATAAAATAGAAGAAGAAAAAGAAGATTCACTTTCATAAAAGAAATATATATGTATCCATCTTTTGTAAATCAAACACTATAAAAGAAATAGAGACGATATAACTTTAGTCGTTGAACATTAAGAATTTATCACAAAACAATTCTACTAGATATATAAAATTTAATGATAGAGTAGCAATTAATATACCTGACTGGAAAGTCGAAATTCAAAAAGACAACAATATTTGTGAGATCTTAGTATATCAAGAACTCCTATAAAATCTTGTTCGATATTATCCATTTTGTCATTAGATGTATCATCTCCTTCTTCCTTATCAGCAATTGTCTCTTCTGCTTCTAATTTGTAAAACATTTGAAGTTTTTTTCTATATAAACATAAAATAAATAAGATATATCTCAGTCATCAAATCGTCTTCTTCTTGTTAAACTTATAAAAGAATGATTATATATAATTAATTTCACCCTCTTAGGCTTATAATTGAAAATTAGAAATACTTGTTATAAATCATCGAAGAGAATAATATATGTATTTGAAGAGAGACAACAAATAATTGTACAGACTGTTTGAGAAATAAAGATCATAAACACAACAAAGAGTATAGTTTGAAAATATGCAATCAAAGATATGAAGTCTTATTCTTAAAGATTTATTTAAACAATTTAACTTATCAAAATTTTGATTTTTCCTTTTTAGTTTTTCTTAGTGTACCTAAAAAATAGATCTACAAACATAAATTTGAACAATTAAAGAAGTCAAAAATAATGCTTAATTATATTATATGGGACCAATTTTTTAAGCTAACAATTATTTAGTTTTTTTTTATAAGAAAAAAATTATGAATTAACAATGAAATTTGTCTTTAAAAAGTCCATAATTAATTCTACACTCAACAAAAAAGAAAAAAAAATTAGTGGTAGATTGTACCATATTTTATTTGTGCCCTATAACTCCTAAGATCTAGAGAAGATATATACCTTATATTTTTGTGTCCCTTATTAATCAATTTATTTATTTTTTAAAATCCATCATACAAAAAATTAATCATGAAAAGCCACAATTCTCCAAGCATCATAAACAACAATAAAATCAAAAAAGGAAAAAAGAGGGTTTTTTTTTCTTCTTTTTGCTATTTTTAAAAATAAAAAGATAATCTTACTCAATCGAAGCATCAAAGAGTTTGAATTCCTCTCTCAAAGCATTTATATAAGTCTCTGTAAGTATATCTGCCATCAACTTTACGAGTGCACTTTCATCGTCATCTTCTTCATTAAAATTCATCTGGTAGAAATTCTTAAAACGTTTTTTTAGACTTTCGTACTTGATTTGGCATTCTACTGGCGATATGTTAAGAACACATCGACAAAAATGAAAAATGGCTTTGGAGAATTCAGCGGCCACCATTTCCCACTTGTCTAATCCATGCATTCTCACTGAACATGCAAGCAAAAGATCATCTTGGACTTGAAGTTTCTCCATTTTTTGAAGATTTTTTTTGAGTTTTTTTTAGAGAAATTAATCACTTGGTAAATAATAATTCAATTTTTTCTTCTCTTTAAAATGGTCAATTTTCTTTTAAGGAATAGTTATTAGATTTTGGGTGTGTTTGGTATGAAGGAAAATGTTTTCCATAGAAAATGTCTTTCTGGAAAACAAGTTGATTTTTGACTTATTTTCTCATGTTTGGTTGGTGAGTAGAAAATATTTTCCGGAAATGATTTTTAGTGTTTGATTTATGAATGGTTTTTTTTTTTGAGAAATATCTTTTATTTTTACTAGGGTAGAAAATAATTTTTAATATTTTTTTGGGAGGGGGTGGGGGTAGGGGTAGGGGTAGGGGTGAGGGTGGGTAAAAAAATTGAATTTAAAAACAAGCTTTAAATTATTTTATTTTTTTTTGGGGGGGGGGGGGGGGTGGTTTGAGGATAGGGACAAAATAAATTGATTTTTTCAACAAAAAAGTAATTGTAGTTTGAAGTTGGAAGAGAGTTTTGGAAAATGTTTTCCTTAAGTTTTGAAGGGAAGTCATTTTCCTTAAATTTGAGGAAAATAAGTTGATTTGGAAAGCATTTTCCAAAACATTTAACCTAACCAAACATGAGAAAATTGGAAAACATTTTCCGGAAAATGTTTTCCTTCATACCAAACACACCCTTTGTGAATATAATTTTGATCATTTATGGCTTAGAATGAAATAAAGCCAGCTAATGTAAATGTGGCAAAAAGAAATAATTTTTTTTTGCCATCTATTCATTATATATGAAATTACTTTTTTGGATCATATTTGATTATTTATTTTAGGTAAATTAATCAAGTTTGAAAGATTTGCTCATTTTAGAAAAATATTTAATATTTATGGTCAAACGCCTATTAAGTACTTTCAATTGAAGCATAAATACATAGATGAAAATTTATTAAATATTAATTAATACCAAGTTTGAATATATAATTTTGAAAGCATATGCAACAAGTACAATATTAAAAACCTTTTAAAAGTTAAATTCATCAAGTTTAAATTTTGAAAGTGAATTCAGATATAATATGGTGCACTTAATTTTCGCTAGGCGCGAAATCATAAAAACATTTGGACACAAGAATCTATATACACAATCTTATCATGTAACTTTTTCAAGAAATTATTTTTCTGAATCCACGATCTCATGATCACGACTATAATTTTACTAGTTATGCAAAGACTTCCCATATTACAAGACAACCAATTAATTAATTAGTGGTATAAGACAACTATATGTGAATGAACCTTCTTTTAACTTTTATTTTTTCCATAATTATAGCCATTTTTTCTTTTATAGGATATCTCACTAAATATTTTCATAAAAACAAAAAGAACATGGGAAAAACACATGGTTTTTTGGGGGAATTCATTTATGATTCTAATTTTCTTTTTTGTTAATAGTCAATTTTAATGATTTTCAGTTACTTGATTTAATCAATTTTTTTAAAAAAATTAGAAAGTAGTTTATTCTTAACTTAGAGTTTGAACTAAAACTGTTGTATACAGAAATTTGACAGAAACCATAGGTGACTTCTAGTTGAGGCAACCAAGTAACTTATTAGTTTAAATCATTTGTACATTAAACTCACTTAATTATATAATAACCATAATTTTTCTAATTTAAACCTTATATTCCTAAAATTCTTTAACATCTTTGCTTCATTTTTAGGATAAGTTATTAGGACATGTATTCTATAGTTTGTGTTATAGTACGTAACTAATTTATCCTTATGCTACGTGTAATGAGAATTTAGTGCACCAGACTATTATTTA